ATATCCGTCTTCTTGCCATTCTTACTTAAAATGATTTTGCATTCAGAAATTCTGGAATTAAATACGGATTTGATGCACGAGAAAATAGTGCATATTGGACGTGAAGAAGGGAGCAAGTTGCACGTGGGGAAAAAAACGAGTCTGATTTAAATGTCACACCTGAACGCTCACATCCTTTTAATTATGTTTGAAATTATGAACATTGCTCAACATCATGAAAATTAAACCTTATTTTCAATAAGCAATCCTGAAAAATATTTGGGGGTGCTTAACTTTTTTCCAGGTGTATATATTTCCAATAGATACTTTCCTTTTCTCACACACTTCCTCCCCACTGCCAGTGTTCTTCATTTTAGATCCTGCCAATTCTTGAAAGGGAGAATTGAGCAGGAGAATCAGAGTTAGCCAGCTGTGCCAATATAGGTGGCACAATACTATTGGTGAAGGCTGGTCACATGCTATATACATGCAAAAGTAGTGCAAGATTTGTGGGGTATATAAACTGGTGTGCTGAGCAATAAAGTTTTAATCAATTCTTAGAGGGCAGAAAGAAGATCAAGATAGCTTTGTTTGAGAGGAGGTGAGTACCTATCAGAAATATGTTTTCAGTGTAAGAAAATGTTAACTTCTGTCCATCTTTGCGACACTTCCCTTCCTTTCCAGGTGAAGAGTATACCCTGGTACAGACAAGGTGTGGTCTCCCACAAATGTGCCCCTATACTGTTCCAAAGTTCCTTCGTGGGTTCTCTTCAGGCACTTCTGGAAGGGGACTCATCTAGGTAACATTTTGCACCAGTCCCTTTACCACTTCAACATGGGATTCCAGCTAGATGTCAGCAGGGGTTATATATCATATCAGAAGTTAACATTTTCTAACACTAAAAATGTATTTTCGATAGATTCTTACCCTTTCTTCCCACTTCTGGTGCATTTTACTTTCTTGCTTAATATTAAAGTGGTGATCAAACAATTAATATAGAAGGAGCCAGCTGTGCTAGAAGGCAGTGTCACACTCCTATTGGTGGAGGGCTGTCGTATACTCATGCAACAAAACAACAGTATCATTTGGAAACATGTGAGATTAGGTGGGAACCTCAAGATTAATGGCAAGTGAAAAAGCCTACATATAGAGGGGAGCACTGAATTGGTAAAGCTAGATGTGAGAGAATATGAGTATCTGTCAGAAATACATTTTCAGTGGTGGAAAGTGTTAAGTTACTAGATTTAATACGTATTCTCTATGTAATTTCTTTTACTTTTTTTTTTTTTTTAGAAAGCCTTTGAAGTCATGAGTGCAGTGGCAGTGATGACAAACTGTGCTTTACTTTGCATGTCTTCAGCAGTTAGGTCCTTAGCACCAACACTATCGCCGACTGACTGGGTACTTGTCATGGTGGCAGCTGAGGTAAGTGGTGATTGACAGCAAAACTATTCCTCTTCAATCTGACTTCCCATTTGTGGCAGCAAAAATAAATATCAGTTGAGCAGGTGGTTGTTGGTTTCAGTGCAAACACTGCATAACTTGGCTCTTGTTTTGTTGACAGCTGAAATAAATATTGTTTAATAGCAATACTGTCATAAACTGACTGGGCACTTCCGTAGTGTCAGCTGAGCAGGTGGTGATTGGCTTCAGTGCTGACACTGCGTAACTTGTCGTTTGCTATGTTGACAGTTGAAATAAATGTTTAAAATCAACACCTAATTAGGTAGTGATTAGTTACAACACTAATTTCCATTAGTTGTTGTTAGTCTATTAATGGAAAAGATAAAACACAAACATTAGCTTATAAACTGATAACTTGTGTTTTTTGGTTCTTGGAATGAGAGGAGGCTTGTGAATGATTTTGGCTGTTAAGCCAATGACGTGTTTATTGGTAACTAAAATAAACAGTGTTTGGTAATTAATATCAGTTCTATATAAACAAGTATCATCCAGGAATGTGTTAAAATTAGTATTAAAAAATAATAGTAATTCTGTATTATATCTACTTAATATTTATCAAAACAAAGAATTAAAATGTTCTGCACAATAATTAATGACACTTGATAAAATGAAAAGTGTGAATTTGACTCTTCTATTATTTGGTTATGGAAAAAATGAATACCTGGAATTATAATCCTGCTAGTTATAAAAGGTGGATTGTACTGAACTGGAGTGCTGTATTATTCTACAAAGTTGTTAAATAACATTGTACTTTTTTATAATGATGCTTATGACTTTTTTGTTTTTATTCTAAACTGTGAAAAAACAAGTTATTAATCTCTATAACATATTAATTTGACTAAAATTTTTTCATTATTGAATTTTTATATTTTTCCTTTAGAACAATCACTAGTTCTTATGGTGTGCACACCTTTTACAAGCCAGCAAAGAAAGATTACAATTTTACTTGTCATAAAACTTTAGCATTAGTAATGCATTAGTCATATCCATTGCCAATGACATGTTTTGCTCAATCCAGAGCTCTTCAGGCCAGTTGGGATACAACAAAACACAGCAGTGGTCGGAACACTATTTATATAGGCCATTTGATACAATAACGATTGTATGGCGTGTATGCTTTTTACAAGCTGGCAAATAATTATAATAATTTCAATTATCATTATACATTAGTATTGGGCCTATTACATTTTTAAACACAACATTCTTAATGTAGTCCTTTAGGGATTTTTAGAATTAAAATAATTTATAATAATAGTATCCCAACTATGCCACATTTGTTATATCTGTTGCTGACAAAATATTTCACTCAATCCAGAGCTCTTCAGACTGGATATAACAAACAATCATTGCTGTGTTTGTTGTATCCCAGCCAGCCTGAAGAACTTTGGATTGAGCAAAATTCATAATCAGCAATAAATATTACAAATATAGTGTGTTTGGAATACTATTACTATACATTATTTTAATTCTAGAAAATCCTTAAGGGACTACATTAAGAATGTATTGTTTATAAATATAATAGACCTAATACTAATGTCTTATGACAAGTAAAATTGTAATCACTAGTTCTTTCTCTTATTCCACAAAATTCACAACATGAAGATTTGCAGTACTTATTTAATTTAAAATTAACAGTTCAGGAAATTCTCAGAATGAATCCTTACCATAGTTACTTAGTTTACAGTTAATTGTCCATAAAATTCTCAATATAAAACCTTGCAGTATAGTAGATGCAGCTAATTTAAGGGAGTTTAAGAGAGAGTTTGTAAATATTTGAATGATAAGGGCTGGCTTTGAGTGGTGTAGTTTTTAGTTGAATTTAATTGATAGGATGGCTTAGGTTGACTGAAAGATCCCTTGTTGTCCTTTGATATTGTGTTATATTAATATTTAGTTTAAAAGTAACTGTCCATGAAATTCTCAATATGAAGCCTTGCAATACTTATTCAATGTAAAGTTAACTGTTTCGTGTATCTGAAATTGTTTCATTTACCAAAAATTTATGTGCTCTTTTTCAGATGGAAATTTAAGGCCTTCAGGTTTGGTGGCCAGGGTTACTTGTAATTTATACAAGTTTTATATTGAAAAGATTGTGTAATCATGAAGCTTTTGAGGTTGTTGGGTTGTATAATATCATCAAACATGGAGTTTGTAAATTATTTGGTTGTATATATCATTGAATGTAATCATGAAGCTTATGAAGTTATTTCATTGCGTATGTCATTGAAAGTAATTGTAAAGCTTCTAAAGTTGTTTTGTTGTATATATTGAAGAACGTACTCATGAAGCTTGAAAAATTGTTTGGTTATATATATCACAGAATGTAATCAGGAAGCTTGGAAATTTTTTTGGTTGTATATATCATTGAACATGGCATAACCTTCAAGTTAATGACAATATGTATTGATATATTGCCTGTTGAATCTACCATCATTGCTTTCTGCTGTCTTATTTAATTGCTATCAGTATCAACCACATGTAAGTAGATTTATGTAAATTATCAGGCAAAAACTATAAACTTATGACAGGAATTTTAACATTATATTACAAAATCTTTTGAAAACTTATTTTTCTTTTCAGCATATTATAATGGCTATTAAATTTACTTTGGTCTACCTCATTCCTGATGTGCCAGAGTGGGTCAACTTGGCACTGCAGAAAATACAATATGATTCTCAAAGAGCACTAAAATCTGAGGTATAGTTTGTGTTTACACTTTTTGTTTTTATTCTGATAGATAACAGCTACTGTGTCTGAGTCAGAATATATGTTAGAATATACATATTAGAATAAACGTTAATCTGTATGACTCGTTGATAAAAAAAAGTAAAGAATATATATATATAGTAAAGTCTGTTTTGAAAATAACATATTGAACATGAATTTGTTAAATTGCTGTTTTTTTATTTTATTTATAGAAAAAATGGAAGATTCGACAAGTATTAAGAAGGTTAAATACTGTTTGTGCCAGTAAACCCATCCGTAATCGAAGATGATTACAAAAGAAACAACATATTTCACTGATTGATTGAAAATCATGTTTTTTTAATTACTAATAGAAAATTGACTAATTACTGGAAAAAAAGAAAAGAACAAACTGAATTTGTAGTTGTTTATACTCTCAATTAGGTTTAAGGATAGTTTCAAAATTTTGGTCAGTTTATTTTCTTATTTATTTAGCAGCATAAACATTCATACCTCCGAGTTCTTAAAAAATCAGGATTTATTGAATATAAACTTTATAACACAGACTAGTTGATTTTACTTTACACTCTGGCATTTTAAAGTGTGTTGTTTTTAATAAATTATTGTTCTCCAGTGGCTTAGCAGTAAGCCTGAGGGTTTACGTTGCTACAATACAGAGATTGAAACTTGTGATAAGTACAGCACAGATAGCTAACGGCAATAAAAATGATGATAATTTTTTTTTTACAAAATTATGTTTGTTACATTTTGGCATGAAAGATAATTGATTATTGTGGATGTACTCTCCTAATATACCTGTTGTCTTGATTTGTACATGAAATGAAATATTTTATTTGTTAGCAAAAGCTTTGATTATATTTGTTAATTATGTTATCTATGTCAAATGCTGATGACATTAGGTTAGGAACAACCTTAAACATTTGTACCAATTTAATACTTCATGTTGCAGCAAAAGGAACATGTCTCTGTAGCATGTAGCTTTTTCATGATAAGTCTAATCATCATATGACAATATTAAGACATTAAACACTGTATAATATTGGAAACTGTAATTACACAGGCCTGCGAATTTAAACTTCATAAAAGTTGTTTTATTCTAATAATGGATTTTCCATAATTCAGCTATGCAGATTTCAAAATTAATATTCTTTTTTTTCTATCACATAAGGATGTTTTACAAATTGGGAAGAAGAATAAACTTACTTAGATCAAATTATTATTTCATTTACCACAATGAACATCTTTTTATTATTATGTATGTTATGTTTGGGTTCTAGAACAATCAGTAAGACTCTCACATTGCGATTGGTCTAGAGAAATTTATAGCCAGTGGTTGTCATCATTTTAAGTATAACAAAATGTGACCTGATTTCAATGAAAATGATTCACTTATGTAAAAATACATATGTCGTTTTGTGAAAAATCTGTATGTGGTGGAGAAAAATGGATATCATTTTTGGATTCAGCATACAGGAATTACTGTAGAACATGTAAACATTTCAAGACAATAAAACCATTGTAGGCCTTTGTAATTACCTTTTAGTTTGTATTAAAATAACTTGCTTCATTATTCATATCATTCAAATTAAAAAGAAAATTAGTGTCAACTCCAGTTGTTCATTATGTAGACTGCTTCTTTAAAGACACCAGTAATGTAGATATAATTTGGCATGTAACTTCCCATTAGTTTTAAGTGTAGTGTCTTTATTGAAATTGTTTTAGAAAATAAAATAATTGCCTTATAAATAATAACTTGAAGAAAATTGTTTTTTAATTTCCATCATGGCTGCTAAAACTGGGTAGTGTTGTCCAGTACCGTGTAATCGGCCGTGCTGACTTTGTAAAAATCAAGTGTCCTCAGTTTTTACTGCCTCAAAATGTTATGTAAGGTTTGTAAATAAATGTATTTGTGAGGAACTAAATGTTAAATATGCATATTTCTGATTTGTTGGTGCATTTTGCCATGGATTTAAAAGAAATTTCAGCTCCAGAAACCAAAGCATAACTGATTGAAAGGTATTTCATTTTCAGTTAATATCTTTTTTTTTTAAACCCTAATTTTTAATGTGTAAAAAATTAGGCTGGCAAAGAGATGTATGCACTGATAAATGAATTGTATTTTTCAAATTGATTTGATGCCTTATAAGTACTCTCATTATTTGCCCTAGTATTCTTAAATGCTATTTTGCACTGCTTTTTAATTTATATCATCAGCATCAAATTTTACTTCTTCCAGAAATGATGTAAATGCAACTGTAAAGGTTTTTTTTTCTTTCTGTTTAAAAATAAAAGCACTAAGACTTAGGTAAAATATTTCTGTAACTCATGTGATATTAAAGTAACATTTAGTGGAAAATATAATGTTCCTACAATTTTGAATATTAATTAAAAAGCCATATTTATATATCCTACATTGTAAATAAAGATATTATTAAAGTTGTTGCATGTAGTAAAACATTATTGTACAACTTAATTGGTCTTTAGAAAATTAAGAGCAATTGTATTTGTAGCATTAGTTACAAATAAATAATTTCTTTTTTATAGCTTAAAAATAGTAGATGAATTACAGAAATAGTATGTGGTGGTAAATATAATTGAAAAATTACTTTTTGAATAAAAAAACTTGTAAGGTGAATATAATACAAAATGTTTCAGTGTTGTTATAAATTATTGCTCATGTATGAAGCACTGTATAACATATTAGTTTTTATTGTAGTTCCATTTTATTTTGTTGTTACTAAAATATTTGGTTATATACATTTTCTTGGAATTGGTAATTACTTTTATAAACTAATTATATAGGAACAAATGTGTGTTAATCATTTGTTTTGTGAACAAGTACAGTTTTTAAGTAAGCAGCTGTGATACTACTGATTCTTTTCAGATGACAAAGTACAAGAAAAACATGTTTAAAAACATTTTAGTTTAACCATTGATAGAAATAAATGTTTGTGTTCAGCATTCAGTTCTTCATGTGTGAATGCTAACTAATGAAATATGTTTTAACTGTACACTGATATGAAGTAAAGCTAATAACACTTGCTGAAGAAAGGCTGTGAAGATAGAGACATCAATTTTGCTGTCAGTGAAAGTTTTTTTTATATATATCACGTGTAGTGTGTGTAACGTTTGACAAGAAACATTAGAGTATAGTTATTTGGTAGTGTGAATTCTGTAATACATTTGTTAAAAAATTGTGTTACAGTATTTTGCAAAATTTATGTCTGTTATTTAAATATTTTATACCATATACTATCATATTTGCTCAGAGATTGTTTGATGTAAATTATGTTTTTAGTATATACCTCATAAACCATTTAAATGCAAGCAGAACTGTGTGTGAAATTTTCATACTATGAAACACCAAAATATGTTTAATGGTGTTAATGATCCCTTTTGCTCACTAGCTTACTTGTTTTACAGATTAAAATTAAATGCAGATATTAGATATTAAATAGGAGCTTAGACATGATTTATACAACAAGCTAACTTGCAATTCCTAACTATCATTTCTAAAAGATTCACTCAAACCCTTGAATGATAAACAGTAAAACTTAAAGCTGACAGTTCAGATTCTGTCAAGGCTGCAACTTTCAAACTGATGTTATGAACTACTTGTACTGCTTTTCCAAGGTAAAAAAATGTATTTACTATTAGAAATAACTTTAGATTTCTAACATTTTGCATTCACCATTTCCTTTTACTCCCTTCCACTTCTACAATTCTTTTTTATGCTAATTTTTCAAGGAACCATTGATCTCTATTCTTGTTAAAAATAGTTGTCTAAAGGCTAGAAAGTTACTTTTAACCTCATGTTTCTTTCACAGTAGAAACTTATTTACATTGTAAGTGATACAAATCAAACAAATCTATTGTTTTTAATACACTAAAGACATATGACATTATTTCTTCACAGTAGAGATAATGCCTTTTCTTGTGTACTTAGACATTATTGTTCTGTCACAAAAGAGATGGTGTTTTTTTCTTGTGAGCCATGAGCTTCAATGTTTTGTCAAAATACATTTTTTTTAGGAAGAACTATGAACTTTAGTGTTCTGTCACAAAATAAGTGTTATTTCTTTGTTTTCCTTGTAAACTATAACCTTCAGTTTTCTGTCACAAAAGAGGTGGTATTTTTTTTATTGAATGATACATAATGTGGCCTATATACAAATGTAGCTCTTTTTCTGTATATCTGAGTAATTAACTTACAAGAAAGAGTTTTCAGATATTCATAGTGCATTTTATATTAGCCCATATAGAATAGAATCTTTGTGTAACAAAAATATTTTAATATTCTTTTCAACTTCTAACATTTCATGTGCTACATTTTGCTATAAACAACGTTTGTTGAAGGTTTATAAATAGTGCTACCACCATGTAATCACAATGACATGTCTTCCTATTTTTTTATTCTGTCATGTATAATATCTGGAGATGAGGAAGTATATTCTGTTTTAAGAAAATAAAGAGTAATGAAACTGATAGTGTTTCAAATAGTGATGTTTCATCACTCTTAATACTCTTTAAGTATGAAAAATTATTATAAAACTGATAATATTCTGAATGCTGATCTATTACCCTAATAATTAAGTATTACAATAAAATGGATATATTGAATAGTGACATGTTATGCTAATAATGAAACTGATAATGTTTTGAATGATGAACTATTACTCTAATAATGATGTTACCTTAAAAGGGATTTCGTCTTGACGTAAATGTATTGTTTCAACTAATGTTTTATATTTGTAAGCTAGCCTGCCTTGTGAGCTCTGGTCTTGCCAGCAGTTACCTGTAACAGGCCAAGTGTAGTTATTACGCACTCTTCTTAAAGGAACTCCATTTGAGCTGCTTAACAGTTAAATAATATTATCAGTCTTATTTGAATGTCTTTTCTTATATAAAATTCAATATCTCTCAAAACACTTAATCCATGGTGTTAACTTACCCTGTTATTCAATTGGATTAAA